CTGCTTTCCTGGAAAGGATGAATTTTATCATTTGACAAGCCTATTTCAAGTTTTTTTGTTGTTTGTTTGCTTGCTTGCTTGTTTTTGTTTTTGCAGCCTAAAATAAACATGTCAAATATAATTTTAGTTCTCACAAAATAATGTCTTAATTTTGTACTAATTCAGATAGAAGCAGAGTCTTAGCTTGAATTTAGCATTGTACCCAGTTTACCATATTGAAGAAAAGGGTGTCAACTTTGGAAGATGTGTAATGCGTCTCTTAACAAGAATGTTAAGAAAAGAAAAAATATACACGATAATAATATTTTTCCCAGAATTCTTGTTTATTGACTTTGTTTACGGTGTCTTTTGCCTACATATTTAATATTAATTTTCAGGTACAGTAATCAAATATGTTTCTTCTTTTCAGTATTGGTTAAGAAGCACTTTCCAACTCTAGATTGCATATGTAATCTACCTTTGCTTGCAAGATTTTTCTTGCTCTTTTTTTAACATGTTTTCTATCATTTATTTTTGAATTTAGTTTATACATGTATATAAGTGTTTATATACACTATGTAAGTGTATACAAATGTTAAATAAATCTTTTGAAATAAGATGGTGGTCTACTTTTACTTTCTTCATTAAATAATCTATTATTTTCTCACCAAATTGAATTTATCTTCTTGTCAGATATTCAATTTGCATATGTACTTCAATTTATTTCTGTTCTAATTCCCATCCAATACCATACTAATTTGATTATAGTGACCTTGTGGTACTTTCTAATATCCATACTCCTTCCACGTTGTAGCTAGTGGGATTTACCTAAATTATAAATCTGATTCCCCACTACGAAGATTTATTGGCTTCCCAGTGCCAGCTGAATACAGTCCAGGCAGGCTCTTTGGCACATGTGGCCATGGTTCCTATCTACATCCCTGGCTTTACTTCTCTTCCTTCATACTCTAGGACTATTAGGCAACTTGAAGGCCACTGAATACCATGTTTTATGGTGTCACATTTTAATTAAATAAATTTTCAAAAGTTAAGCTTCATTATTTTAACTGTACTTTTAGTGCTTTCTTCACTGGACTAACCATTATTCTTTCTTCAAAATTCAGTTCAGACAGCATATTTTCCAGGAAGCCTTTCCAAACCCACAAGTTAGGAGTCACCTCCCATTAATACATTTTGTACCCACTAACTATGTTGATACATCTCTTTATGTGTGTCTGCCTTCTACTTTATAGACTGTAAAATTCAGGTATTACTCATTTTTGCATGCAGAAAACTTAACCCTATGATGATACAAAACAGGCATTCAATAAATTGTTCTTAAAATTATTGAACTAGAGCAGTGGTCCTCTGATGGTATAGAAATAAAATATTATGACATATTTATATTTATCTAAATTTAATAAGCTTTGCCCATGTTTAATATGTGGGCTCCACTGGCACTACCACTTGGACCCTATGAAAGTGAAAGGTATTTTAAGGAAAGATTGGGAGTTCCAGAACATAAAGAAGTTGACAGTGCTCATTGCCTGATACATGCACCCAGTTAAATAAATTTTAAAATCATATTGTGTAGTTTAAAGTAAGCTAACCCAAAATGGATGACATAAAATATTCCTGGAAAACAACATGAATTGAAGATAATTCTAGTGAACATTTCAAAAATAGCAGGGCTGACCTTTCTCCAAGGACATCTCCAGCCATATTATGACATAAAAACAATGACAATTGCGGACAAAAAAGGGATCACATACTAAACTTGATAAGCTCAGGGGAGGCCTGAATGGCAGGCCTTACATACCCAGAGACCAAAGTGACCACACAGGGTGGTCTGAACATAAAATTTTCTAACTAAAAGTGGGTCATGGTGGGTAGTCACATCCTAGGTCTATAGCTTCCTGAACAAAGGTCAGTCCTTAACTTTGAAACTGTCTATTGTCTTTGTGCATCTAAGATAATATACCTTTGAAATGTCAGAGTAATCTTCTTTTCCTGACATCGAAGACACAACTGCAGGCACCAGAGCACGAGACCACATTTTTATCTTATTGCCCACATACCATCTATATGCGCTGTAAATGTTAACTATTTTATGTGTCTCTCCGATTTGACTTTTTATCCACTCTCAGATATTTCCCCACTTTGCTTTCTCCTGCCTCTCTAATCTATCACCAACGAGTTTCATGGAACCCTTCTTAAGTCTCCTCCTTTGATTCTAATGTATAAAATAAGCTGCAAAACTGCCATTCTCCTGAGCATTTTCTTAAACCATTGAGATTTTGCTTCTCAGCAATTGTTGTCAGTTTGGCTCAAATAAACTCTTACAAGATTTTTTATTAGGTTGGATGTTCTTTTGTTGATATATCTGTCAAGAAGTTAGCCAAAAAAAATTGACTTTTTGATATGTGGATGTACACTCACTTCTGAAAACAAAATAAGGCCCTAAATAGACGTAGTGTCTTAAGATAATAGTTAATGATAGTATGAAACCACAACCATTAGCAAGACTTTTTTTTTTTTTAAGATTTTATTGGGGAATTGGGGGAAGGGGAACAGCATTGGGGAATCAGGGAAGGGGAATAGACAGGTAGACAAATTGCTGTTTATTTGTTCTTCAGTCTAGTTGTGGAGGACATTTCTTCATTGTCACAATCTTCATTGTCACAATCTTAGGCTACNCCAACTTGGGCCAGTGAAGCAACATCCTCCACAACTAGACTGAAGAACAAAAGGACAGCAACTTGTCTGTTCCCTTTCCCCCAATTCCCCAGTGCAGTTCGCATCCCCCAATTCCCCAATAAAAATCTTTAAAAAAAACAAGGTTGCGGGTTTGACTCCCACATGGGATGGTGGGCTGCACCCCCCACAACTATCAATAGATTGAAAATGGTGACTGGACTTGGAGTTGAGCTGTGCCCTAGACAACTAAGGTTGAAGGACAACTTGACTTGGAGCTGATGGGTCCTGGAAAGAACACATTGTTCCCCAGTAAAGTTTTAAAAAGAAAAAGGATGAAGCAAAAGAAGACCCAAAGTGAATTCCTGAATTTTGGTTGACCGTTTTTAAGAATGTTGACTTGCTCGGTGATATGGTCCAGGAACATTACAAACCTATTCTGAAGCACTTAAAAGGTGAAGTTCTCAGATGCTGGCCAGCCTATTAGTTTTGTCTTAGAATTTCACTTTGAACCCAGTGACTAGTTCACAGATGAAGTGCTGACAAAGACAAACAGGATGAGGTCAGAATCAGTTGATTCTGATCCCTTTTCTTCTGATGGACCAGAAATTATGGGTTGTACAGGGTACCAGGTAGATTGGACAAAAGGGAAGAATGTCGCTTTGGAAACAATTATAAAGCAGGAACACAAGGGATGTGGGACAATTCGAACTGTGACCAAAACAGTTTCCAATGACTCTTTCTTTAATTTATTTTGCCTCTTCCTGAAGTTCCTGAGAATGGAGATCTGGATGACGATGCTGATGCTATCCTTACCACAGACTTTGAAATTGGGCACTTTTTACATGAGCATGTAATCCGAAGATCTGTGTTACACTTCACTGGAGAAGCGATTGAAGATGATGATGATGATTATTATAATGAAGGTGAAGAAGCAGATGAGGAAGAGGAAGTAGAAGATGAGGAAAATGATACAGACTATGACTCAAAGGAGGATCAAAACCCAGGAGAGTGCAAGCAGCAGTGAAGCAGGATGTATGTGGCCTTGAGGAAAACCTGCACTGTAATATGAGTCTAAACACAGCAATTATTTACTTAAAGCCTTATGTTTTTGTATTTTCTTGGTAGACTCAATACTTTTTTAAAAAGAAAGAAATTGATATTTTAAAGACTGATTTGTTCTACCTAGCATTTCAATTTTAGCTTTTCTGCCAGATATGTTGAATACAGAAATTCTCTCACACATTTTCATTCATTGTTACATAGTTTGGTTCTTCTGGAGAATTTTTATCATGTAACTATTAGATTACAGCTAAGAAAATAAACAGAGCTGTTAAATGGAACAGAGCTTTTGTTTTTCTAACTTTTTTCCTGAAGAACCAGTAAGTATTTTTTCAGCTGGTAGTTAAATGGGTTTAAGTTTGCTTCCACTAGCCTTGCCTTTCATTATTTTGTTTTAGAAATGCAGTGCTTGTACCAAGAAAATTCATCATTTTAAAAAACAAAAATACAACTTGTCAAGACGGATGATATATGATTAAGAATTTCCAGTAAGACCACATCCATTAACTTAGATCGTTAATGGATTTTTTTATATTTTAGGTGACATAGTTAACTATAAAGAACCCTAACTCAATGGTATGATTATTGGCTACCACAGTCAGGTGAATAAAACCTAGTATTTTCAAAAGTTAAGCTTCATTATTTTAACTGTACCTTTAAGTTTAACCTCCATTGACTAAGCATCTTTTCTTTGCGGTAGAGTCTACCTTCTGCTTTCCTGGAAAGGATGAATTTTATCATTTGACAAGCCTATTTCAAGTTTTTTTGTTGTTTGTTTGCTTGCTTGCTTGTTTTTGTTTTTGCAGCCTAAAATAAACATGTCAAATATAATTTTAGTTCTCACAAGATAATGTCTTAATTTTGTACTAATTCAGATAGAAGCAGAGTCTTAGCTTGAATTTAGCATTGTACCCAGTTTACCATATTGAAGAAAAGGGTGTCAACTTTGGAAGATGTGTAATGCGTCTCTTAACAAGAATGTTAAGAAAAGAAAAAATATACACGATAATAATATTTTTCCCAGAATTCTTGTTTATTGACTTTGTTTACNCCCTGGCGTCGTCTCATCCCCCTCCCCGCCCTACCCGCCCCCTGGTGGCAGGTTCAGGCCCAGGGTACTAGCCTGCGCCCCTGCAGCTGCCACTGCCTCCACGCCGCCAGGGGGCGTCTCTGTCGGGAAACGTAGTGTTGCCTCATTGGTGTGAAGGTGCTCTCAAACTTTAGTTCTGTTCCTTTCCCCCTGGTTTAGAAGAGCGTAGAAGAAGATGGAGACCGAGTCGGGGACGGTAAGTACGGCCGTCAGGGCCCCGGGGTAGCGGGGATAAGGAGCAGCGTGGACACCGTCCCTGAGGGGTTGGAAGGGCGAAGTCTGGAGTGCAAAACACCCGCTATTTTATTGAGTAGAAGGCCACATCGAAGAGCAGTCGGCCCACAGATCCCGTCGGATTGAGTACATGGCGTCGGAAAGGTGCGGCCACCAGGCCTGGGCTGGGTATAGGCGGGTTGGGGGACCTCGGAAACGGCTGAGAGGGTTCGGAAGGCCGCGTGTGACTGGGCCCTCTGCACAGGACAGGGTCCCGGCGAGGGGAACAGCTTTCCCGCCGAAACTGGGCTGCGTCTTTGCCACTCATTCCTGCGGGACCCAGCCCAGCCGCCAACTGCGAGGAGTTGTCAGGGAGGCTGACGCCTCCTTTCCCCACTTGTCAGTGGGGGGGGGGCTGGAAAGCCTGAGAAAACTGGGGGGGTGGGGGCACCTGCGTCCCAGATCGGACCCGGACACTCGAGCACCGAGTCCGCGCCGGAGCCGATCAAGGCCGAGCAGGGAGAGGGGCAGGAGACGAAGCCCGCCAGAGGGCCCACAGCAACGTGCTGCCCCGCCCTGCGCTCTGCCAGCAGCCAATCCGCACGCGCCACGCTGGCGCCTCAGGGTTAGCTGCGCACGAGGCCGACGTCGTCGACGTCGGGTCGGTGCCGTTAAGGGTTCCCGCCACCACCGCTGGCGGGTTTGTGGGGCAAAATTTCTCGCTGGTTGGCCTTCTTTACCCTCCCACACTTTGGTGGGGAGGGGGTGGATCCTCGTGTCAGTGCCCAAGTTCACGATGACTCAAGAGAACCCGAGGATTTTGTCTCTGCGGCCATTTCCCCCGGCGCCTCAACTTGCTGGCCTCGGAGGGGGAGAAGCGTCGAGGCCGTGACTGCGACGGTTAGCCCGCCCTCTTACTATTGTCTTCGTTGGAAAAGTAGATCTTAGATCTCGAGGTTAATTCTCAAGGGGTGGAGGCAGCCAGGGCACATTACGTTGGAGGAAATTTTTAATAAACTCTAGTATTGGAAGTTTACTACGTTAAGGACCCTTCTAGCACAATAACAGCGCCTACCTAGATGCTTTCCATACAGTTGCAAAATTATTTTCAGCGGGATTTGAGGCTTTAGTGTTTAACTCAATGAATGGCTTAACCTTCTAGAAGGAGCGTAGGTGTTGCCTCTACCTGAGCTCTGTTACTTAAAACATTAAAATACTTTGTAGGCTATTATTCATAGTGTATTCTTAAGCCTTCAGAGTAATGGTTGGCGTATCATGAGCAAGAAGAAATGATTCATTTGTTCAACAGATATTGAACAGCTATGTACCATCACTACTTTAGATGCTGTAGTGAACAAAACAGGCAAAACCTCTTTCCTCATGAGCATTACATTATAGTGGAAAAAAACAGGCAAAACCTCTTTCCTCATGAGCATTACATTATAGTGGAAAGGGACAGACAAATATAAATTATATGATATATTGGAAAGTGATAAGTGGTAGGGAGAAAAAGCAGTTGGAACCACAATAGAGTGGGAGGACGAAGTGAACTGCATGTAAAAAGTTGGTTTCTCTTTTCTCAGTATCGTTTAACTAGTTTCTCAAGATTGGAAATAAAGCACTGTTCACTTGTGTTCATGTCATCTCTCTCTCTATGGAAAAAAAAATGAGGTTGACTTTTATTTAAACAAATCTGAGGGTAAATGAGTTCATTTCATTGAACTCATTTTATTTTTAAGAAGAGAATTTCATGAAGACTGATTTTTTTTAATTTTGCAAATAGGTAATTACACTATAAACAGGTAGAGAGATAAGATTATCTCTACAAGAGCTGTTCTATTATGTCTAGTAGTACACATCTACAGTTGAAAAATAAAACTAAGCATCCCAGAATCATCTAGTCTGGGCACTATGTCCTACAAGTAAGGTGATTGAAGTTACAAATAACTTCCAAATGCCCAGAGAGGATGCTGTTAAGATTAGATTCCCAATTTCTTTAATTAGAAACAACAGCATAGCAGTTATTAAATGTGAGTTTTCGTAGTTTAATAGATTATTTTTATGAACTCCCTTATTAGGGAGCATGTGTTTACTTCCCTCTATACATTTTTGCTGCGACGTGTGTCTGTAGTCGAATAATATTTCCATGCCACTGACTACGGTGTTCAACTTTACCCCATGAGGTCAATGTTCTAGAAAGGAAGTTTAAGAAAGCAGATGTACATTTTTCTATATTTTTGTGTTTCTCAAGAATGAATAACAATAGGAAATTTTTATACTTTAAAGTAATCATTTATTTTAATAAAATGTAGCACCTTAATGGTATTTACTTAAAAATATAAATACCGTGATTATTTTCTGTGTTTTTTTGACACATTTTGGAGAACAAACTTGAAGTCAATTAATGCAGTGAAAAGATTGAGACTAGATGTAGAACACAGCCCATAAGGTTCAGCCTATAGCCCCATAGTCACCACTGGCCTAGTCATTTCTCTGTACATCTTGCAGAGATTAATTTAGAGATTATGGTTTTATTGGCTAATGAAGTGAAAGAGGAGAACAAATGTGAAAAAGTACAACTTCATTATCTAAGTTGGAAATCCATTTTCATGTGTTTCTCAGCGAATTGAAATTATGAACTTCAAGCTTTTTGAAATACTCATTTAGTATATTAGACTGTCTCAGATGTCTGTTTAGTGTTCCCAGAAGGAAATTAATTAGCAAGTCCGTGAATTGGTTTCTTTTCAAAATTCTCAAGTTTGGGTGGTGTTTTTTTTTGGTTGTTTTTGTTTTTTTTTTAACGAAATCAGTTCAATCTTCACATTGACAACTACATTTAAAAATTTGATGCTACAGCTAAAAACAGTGAATTTGAATGTCAGTGTTTATTAATTTGTCAGTGTTCTTTAGCCAGAGATTGCCAGGAACACAGCTGTAGTTTCATAATGTTGGGTCTATTGAATTGTTACAACTAGGAAGAACATACACCATGGGGCCTCTCAGCAAGACAGTGTTAGGAAGAACTTATTATAGGATTTAGGCTGTGTTAAGCATTTTTAGAAGGGAAGGGAGAAGGGCTTTACTCTGAAATGCATGTTGCCAGGATGGGGGAATATATTATGATTGGTATGTTAATTCTTATCTGAAAGGCAAGAAAAATAGATTGAGGTTAATTGTGATTGATAAAGGGGTGCGTAGTCACTCATTTAAGCCAGAATAGAGGGATGTTTGGTCATTCTTGTAGTTTGGATGGTGTTTTTGTTTTTGTCAATGTTCAGACATGATTATGGGGTGGTCTTATTTTTATCTTGATCCATCACAATTACAGAGTAGCCTTGCCTGATGTTGGTGTTCTGTTAATAAGAGAACATCACAGCCTAGCTGTGAGTTCTAAGCCAATTCCTAACTCCACCTAGTTGATTTGCCAGGCTGGCTCCTAGCTGTCCAAGGGCTGCTTTTCTCTCTCTCAGACTTCTTTTTTAGTTTAATTTCTCTCCTTAATATTTATAATATTTAAATAGTATACTTAATAATTAACATAAGTATATTTAAGTAATGTATTTAAGATTTCCCTGTAATGGAGTAGATCTACATTTCATATCTTTATGTTGTCCTAAAAAGTTATTAGCTTTAATTATAATCTTCATAATATTAGAGTAAAATTAAAGTCTAAAATACTACAATTTATTAAATGATTCGTCTTTTTTAAAGGTACATGTTTTCAGCCTGCAACAAGTACTAAAAGTTTAAAATAATTTTATTTTACAGCAAACATCAAATCAGACGCAAACAGATTCATTATCTTCATCCCTTAATCCTGTGTCACCTGTGCCTTTGAATAACCCAACAAGTGCCCCAAGATATGGAACTGTGATCCCTAATCGCATCTTTGTAGGAGGAATTGACTTTAAGGTACCTATTTATACATGCAACATGGTGTAATTTTTGTGTTAGAAGTTATTTTATTTCTCAGAAATTGTTTCCTTGTACAACCATAAAAATAACATACTTGCTATTTATGATATGTTAATGATTAATAGATTTCAAATGGTCTTAATATAAAGAATCTTTTAGAAAACAATGGAGGTTAGAGCATATATAATTGTCCAGTTTCACATACAAGGAAATTGAGGCTCATTGATGTGTGTATAGACTCCTACCTACTTGGTGACAGTGTAAAGACTAGAATCTTTCTTTTCTGTCTCATCGCTCCATATTCTTCATTTCACCATACTACACTAATTATATTTTCTTGCATAGTAGTCTAATAGCCCAAATGATGAGTGATTATAATTTACAAAAGAAGACTCAACACACACACACACACACACACACACACACACACACACTTAGTCCTATGAAATCCTGTTTCTTCATCCCAATTTTTATTTCAGGTTCTTGAGTAACCCACTAGACATCCATCTTTTGTAAGTTGCTTTCTATCACCTAATTTAGAATTCATCACCAAAAAAGGTCGGTGTTCTTGTCAGAATAAAGCATCTCGACAGTAATATATTTACATAATGTAATAAGCCATTTCAGAGAGGCATACTTTGAGAGATGTTTTGCAGCATCCTTATGGGAGGTAGTAGTAAATACCTACAGGAAAGGCATGCATGGATATTTTAAGTGGAATATACCCTTACTTCCAAGTGGATATATGGAAGGATTTCCAAGCTTCCATATTATCTATTGGAAATTACAGGGAAAGTTGTCTCTTAATTAAAAAAAAATCCTGTGCCATTTGGGTATGATATTTGACATAATTCACTGTTTCCCTAAAATCAATCTGTCACAATTTGGATGGAATTTTTTTTTCCTGTTCAAAAGAAATGCTTAATGTATTAGTCAAAATAATGAATCTTAAGCTAATATGATTGGTTCACTAAAAATAAGAGAAGGAAAATTATTTCTTATGAAATGCTTATTTTTAAAAATTTTTCTGTTTCTCTGGAAAATATTAACAGCGCACCATAAATATTCAAGTTGAGTATTCTTATTCAGAATTTATATTATAGTAGCTTGGTATATATTTTCAATGAATCATCAATAAATGTAAATATTTGTATGGCTAACTTATTCTAGGTTACTGAGACCTACAATTTCAGTATGAACTTCGGAGGCCATTGTTACAATGCAGTCCTAGTTTTAGGGTAACTGCTAGAGTTCCCTCCCTTATACTTACACCCTTTCCAAAATCATAGATAAATGCCAACAATCAGATAGTTTTCTGTAGCAGCAGTCTCAAACTATTTTTTTTTAAGATTTTTTATTGGGGAATCGGGGGCGGGGGAGGGAAACAGCGTTGGGGAATCAGGGAAGGGGAACAGACAGGTAGACAAATTGCTGTTTTGTTCAGTCTAGTTGTGGAGGATGTCGCTTCACTGGCCCATGTTGGTATGATCATTGTGCTTTTCCCGGGTGAGGCAATCAGTCACCGGTCGTTGGTCAGCTGCTCACAGCCGCTCCCGGTAGCTCATACCGGCTACCAGCCGCTCATGCTGGCTGCCAGCCACTCACGTAGCTCACAGCAGCCTGCTGCAGCCCCATTGAAGCCCACGCCATCGCCTGGGACTCACAGCAGCCCAGCTCCAGGTAGAGCTGTTGTTCATCATCTTAGCTGAAGAGGGCGAGCGTCACTGGCCCTCAATGTGGGATCCGAACCTCAGTCCTGCTGCTCAGAGCTGGCGATCCCAAGCCAGCTCTTAACCAGCTGAGCCACTCGGCTGGCCCTCAAACTTTTTTAAACTCTTCTTTTTAGAAGCCTGCAGCCCATCTCTCTTAATATTTAATCATCTTGACTTTCTGTTTCCTTAACTTTTCAACTGAGAAGTGGAGTTGCAAATTTGAGCTAGTGATTCTTCTACCAGAGAATAGATTGAATTAATTTGTTTTCAAATCTCTAATAGAAATACTTATTCTAGTGTTGATTCCATTTTGTATTTATTGAAATAAGAAGCATTTATTTATTCTTAGATTAACTCAGTATTTGTCATCATGCAGTTTAGCAGGCTGTAGTTTACTAACTAAAAAACAGTGGTATATATAAGCAGTGAGGTAGCTGTGGAACTCAAGAGGCATAGCTCTGCTGTTAGGCATGCCTTTTTCTATGTATATAAAGAAAAAATTTTCTAGGGATATTTAAAGTTCCTCTTAAGGGCAAAGAGTTACAGCTGAAGCACAAAATGAAATTGCAATGAATTTAGTGCGAATACTGTAGGAATAGGTGATATGAGTTTACTATGAGACTATTTTAATTAAAATCAGATATACCAAAACCATATTTGTAAACATCTTGTACATTATAGTCTAATTATGACTCATTTTTATTTTGAGTATTATCATAATGTCTGTATTTAGCTGAAATGTATATTGAGTACAGATAAAGCACCTAAAAACTTAAATCTTGCAGTAGCTACTCCATTGTTGTAAGAAATTGAGTTGAGGAACTTTTGGAAATATATCCCTTTCCTAGAACCTTACTCTTCCTGGATACTATGCTGATTAAAATAGTGATTGGTTTAGGCCAATATAACCTATTTCCAGTTCCCTGACTGTGGTACCCTTTAGTAATACAGGTTTCCCCTGCTTTTTGAAAGTAAAGCGTTTGTTGTAAGGCCAAGAAGCATTTACATGCAAAAAATCTTTTGAGCATTCCCAGATCCAAAAAATAACCTATCAAATCATAACCAAATAAGTTTAATTATGTCCAGTTTTATGTTAATCAATCAAAACACCCTTACAAGCTCTCTTAGGCTTTTCTGATACGTTAGGACACCTTTTGCTAGGAGCTGCACAAAATAAATCGAGATAAAGCACAGATGTTAACAGACACAGTTCAAAGCTATGGTGGCTTGATGCTGAGATGCTGAGTACATTTCCAGAAGAAGGAACTTGGCAATGTCACTCCCTTTGCTCAGGTTGCACGTTGCCTCTATTAAGGCTCTCTCTGCAAAACGAAAGCTAAATGCTGATTTCACTTTTCACTTTTTTTCGTAAAAGTAAAAGTGAAAACCCTCTTCAGATTTCTTTTGGTTAGCTAAAACAGGTGCTAATGTAGGTCTTTGGTAAAAGCAAAGTGGTATAAGGTACTTACCAAAAGTGGAATTCCTTTAAATAGTGAGCTTTCTTTATAGTTTTGAAACAATTCACCTTAAAATTTTTTATGGTTAAACTATGTTTAACAACATTAGTTACTGCATAAAGCATATATATTGATATATTCTATATATTATATATATTGATATATATTATATTGATATATATTATATTGATATATTATATTGATATAAAGCATATACATATATTGATTTTAATAACCTAGTAGTTTCATGCACTTTTTTTATGCTAAGAGGTATTCTTATATTTATATTATTATTTATTTATAACCTTTTCTATCTCCAAAACAGCATAAAAGTTGTTTCTTTTATCAATTAAAAACTTTTTTTGTGTGTTTTTATGTCATTAGACAAATGAAAATGATTTAAGAAAATTCTTTGCCCAGTATGGGTCTGTAAAAGAAGTGAAGATTGTAAATGACAGAGCTGGAGTGTCCAAAGGGTTAGTATCACTATAGATAGTATATAGAATTAATAATTGTATTTTTATTGCATTACTGTTTTGTATGCTAATGTATTTTAGTTCCATTTTTTAAAAAGAGAATTTTGTGCTTTCTTCTTTCCTCCTCCTACCTTTTGATCTCCGTGTGTGTGTGTGTGTGTGTGTGTGTGTGTGTGTGTGTGTGTGTATTTTGGAGGGAGGGGGACACTAGTCTTTAATTTGTTGGGAAGTTATTCTTGCATGGGCTGAGGGACCATTCAGTATTAGATAGCAAGCACTTAATGTTGAGTAGGTACTTAATGTCCAGTAGCTAAAGAACCAGAAACTAAAGAAATCCAATACTTTTGGAATTGTATACCTGCTTTAGAATAAAGACAGCTATATTTGAAAAAAGCTGACACAAAGGAATGTCTATAGGTTGTGCCTCAAAGACCTAAATAGGGGACTAATTCGAGAAATATAACTCAAGAATAATTTTTAATTGCTGAATCAAGGGGGATGAAAATTCAGAAGAAAGCAGTAGGATTTGTTTAGTAATAGCTAATGGCCTTAGAGCTGTTTCAGTGGATTAGTATACACAAAAGCCAAATTTCAGAGAAGAAAAAGGTAGTTTACATAGTGTACTCACTTAAGAAGTTTGACTGCAAAGTTAAAGAAAATGAGTAAGATACTGGAGATCAATGAAAGACTGTATTTGTTTTCTTGAAAGAGAGTCAAGACATACATGTTCATAGGCATATGAGAAGGAACCAATGAGTTAGATAGAAAATTATATTAGTAGGAAACAACATATGACAGAAAGGTGGGTACTTCCGAAAAGATGGGATCCTGCAGAGAGGTTATTTTTAAACAAATGAGAAATTTCCTCAGACTGATGAACAATATTAGGATAAAGTAAGATTGTACCTCTTGTTTGACTAAATAGTATTTTTAGTATTTTGGTAATGTCCATTTTTTATCATTGGAAAACACACATAAAAACAAACTGTATTTTAAGCCATTTCCACTGGGTGGTGTATGTGTTCTGCCAAAAAAAATAGTGTAAAAATATTTCCTTAACTCTGTTTAATGCTTGGGCAAATAGAAAAAGAGAAATCCTTTGTTAGAAAAAGAAACTTTATATATAGTATAGAAATTATGAATTTAAGAAAGTAATCAAGATATTTAGCACTATTCAAAAGAGTTTCCTTAAGTTATCTAAATAGAAAATATGTTTTGGGAGATAATGCTTTTTTTATTTCTTTCGTTTCTTTTTGTCTGCCTACCTACTTTGGCTTTTTTGGACATGGCATATATCATCATGTATTTGTATCTTGAACTTTATATGAATTATACTCTGAAGGTATGAAAAATAGATGTAAAATCTGGGTTATACATATTTGTAATTGAATTTGTTTGGGAAATACACTAATAATTGCATTATCAATTTATATGTGCTCATAATATAAGTAATTTGTATACTCATTTACCAAGTAAAAAATTTTATTGTGCTGAAATTTTTTAATGTTTTTAAAGTATTTTTTTCTTTTTCAATATCTATTTAAGCCAAACTTCTATTATTTTAAAAAGAGATTATTGCTCTGGACTGAAATTTGTTGCATCCTAATTTGTAATCTAGAACATAAGCCTCTCAAGCTTTTCTGCCTTATATACGGCTCAGGTCTGAAACTGTTTTGAGATCCCTGGTTTGCTTTTTTTGGTGGGGGGTCCCCTGACTCTAAGCGGAGGTGACAGTGTTAAACTGTGAATAATTCTCCTAAGTTTTGCATACTAGTGCACCATAGAACAATGCTCACACTTACAGTGGCCCATTCTTAAAAAACAAAATTTTTTAAATATTAATATAACTCTAATGTTCTAAGAAAATTATTAATGCATTCATTTAGGTATGGTTTCGTCACTTTTGAAACACAAGATGATGCACAAAAAATTTTACAAGAGGTAAGATCTTTTAATGTATTTAACTTAGTTTTGGAACTTCTTTCTTTGAAGCTAATCCTGTGAGGTACTTAGTTTAACAGTAGGGTTCCAGTACAATGATCAATTGCTAAGAAAAAATATTAACTTATTTTCATCTGAAGATTGATACTGGTCTCCAAAAAAATTAGGTTAATGGAAAAAGATTAAAGAGAAACTTTTATCTTCAGAAAAACAAATTCCAAATCATTACATGCGTATGGTTGTGAAGTTATAATATAATTTTTCCCTTTATTTGCTTAAACTAAGAACTTGGGGGTGTATCTTTTCTGAAGTGTTAATAGCACTATGAATTCCTTAAAAAACACTACAAATATGGATTCCGAGGATGAGGTTATCTGAGATTATTTCCCTCCTATGAAAAATTTAAATAAACTAAGAACATTCATAGAAAAAGTCTGTAGCCTGCAGTTTGGTGTAATAATTTTAAATTTGGCAAATGTAACATTTAATTTAAAAAAATAGATTTTAAATTGTATATTATTAAATAATATGCATTCAATGACCTTATTTGTAGTAGCAATGGTCTATAAAGTGACCACAAACACTGACTTAGCAAATATTGAGTTCCTAGAAGAAATATAGGGCTAGGTTCCCACAAGCTTCTGGTCACAATACTTTCATCAACCAGTCAATACATAACTTTGTTTTATGGGTGTTTCTGTTTAAAGACACATTTAATATAAAGAGGGTGCCAAAAACATGTACGAGTGCATATACACATTTTAAGAAAGGAAGAAACTATTAAAATTGTAATAATAGGGCCAGCCGAGTGGCTCAGTTGGTTAAGAATTGGCTTAAGAGTGTGAGCTCTGAGCAACAAGGCCGCCGGTTCAATTCCCACATGGGCCAGTGACGCTGTGCCCGAGCTGAGCTGTCGCTGAGGTGCCAGCAGGTGGCAGGATGGCTCAGCTGATGTAACAACAAGATTGCCTGTTCAATGGTGGGCTACGCTCACCCGCAACTAAGACTAAACTCGGCACCTTGAGCTGAGCTGCTCAGCCCGGATGGCTCAGTGGATAGGGCATGCACTCTTAACATGGCTGCTGGTCCAACTCCCGCATGAGATGGTGGCTACACCCACCTGTAACTAAGATTGAACACAGCACCTTGAGCTTTGAGGCCACGAGCTGCCGTCGGGAAACCAGATGGCGACTGGCACCCTCCACAACGAAGGTTGAAGAACAACTTGGTTGGTCCCCTCCCCCAATTCCATAACACTGGTCCCCTCCCCCAATTCCCCAATTTAAAAAATTGTAATAATATATACCAATAACAAAAGATGAATACAAGTCATGTATACATTTTTTGGGCACCCCCAGTATTATTGATTCATTAACATTGAACTCATGGCCAACAAGCACTGTAACTCATGTCTAAATTAAGCCCATCTAATACACACTTTCTCCATCACTTGACAGTCTCCTTACATGTAAGAACACTAGCCAGGACTTCAGCAGTACACTCGAAAGCTGTTTTAAATAGCAAAATCACCAACATAAAGCACAAAAGTGCAGAAAACATGGCACTATATAGGACACAAAAAGGACACTTGTTTCCAGTGTAAAAGCTGAAACAAGAAGACAAGAGTCACCTTGTTTGATCTCAGCTGGGACCATGTGTATCAGGCAACTCAAATTTTTTACCTCTCTGCTCATGTCCACTAATAACCACTGAATTGCCATGAGTATTGATTTTGGGGTCACATATAAGTTTTAATGAGTAGGTGATTTCTTAAAGTTCCATGAATAGCTTATTGACTGTATTCCAGATTAGGAATTAATGTCAGAGAATTGGGAACAAGATTTAGACCCAGATTTGTTTAAATCCAAAGACTTTGCCCTTTCCAGTGTGCCTTGCTGCTATCAAAGAATGTTATGGTCTGAAGCTTTAAAATTATTTCTTACTAGTTTTTCTTACTGGTTCTATAAACAACAGTGCCAAAATAATTTATTTTTTTCTTATTTTAGGCTGAAAAACTTAATTATAAGGATAAGAAACTAAACATTGGTCCAGCAATAAGAAAACAACAAGTAGGGATCCCTCGTATGTATTGACAACTAATGTATTTTTCAACATTTTTATATGGTTCTTTTATCAAATATTAGACTTTTGATAGAAATTCATTAAAATATCAGGTTCCTTTCATTTAACAAAGTTATTTTAGCAAAGTTGGTGGCCAAAATGAATATTTCTCATCACAAATTAATATATATTAGATTTTGGGAGGCTAAGGGCAAATTTACATAAATAATGATGCTTTAATATATTCCATATAGTTATATCTTTAAAGGAAAAGTCTGATAAAAATATAATTTAAAATTGCAAAAGTAATTGAAAGATATTTAGAGTTACTAATTAGAAAAATTTCTAATTAGAAAAATAATTTAAAATTAGAGTAGAAGTACTATTGAAAGTTAAAATATAGACCCAATATGAGAAAGTCTGGTTGCATGGTATGTTCTGTAACCCAACCACATGTGTCATAATTATCAGAAGGAACAGTCCCTAAAGCTTTAAGAATTAGCCAAGTTATGTGGCTTCCTCAATTTTTTGTAGTGCTTTCAATTCTACTGTTTTATTCCTCACTCTTCTCACTTATTAAATTAGGGATCTTTACAGTTTTTAACTATAATATTTATTAAAATTTCTAACAGAGTCTTCTAGAAAGAGAAACACAGACTACTATTATTAGTTGCAAGAGTTAAGCCGTACCATGTAGTAATGGTTCCTTAGAAGCCCATTATCACCAGCAGTAGATACAGGTAGTAATGTTCGTATTATGACCCACAAGTTGCTAAAAATAGTACATAAATCAGCACTATGGTGAATGCTTTCAAACAGATGAATAGTTAAGAACTATTCAGTGCAAGGGTCAATGTTATGGGTTTTCATTTATTGTGTTTAACCTTTACAGCAACCTGTGAGGCCGGTTACTGTAAAGATTACTTCTATTTTTATAAATAGAAAATTCAGTCTTAAAAAAGTAAAGTCATTGTTTTAGAAACATTTCTGCTGAAATACTCTTAAATGTAGAGGAGAGTTAATCTTGGCATGTTGTGGGTCTTAACCCAATGCAGCATACCAGAATTACAAATTTTCTTTAAAGTCTCATATTCTATGTAAAAGTATCATGTACATTTTGCATTCTGTCCCAAAGTCTTAGGAATTTTACTACAGTGTCTAGTCTTCGGGTAAATATATATAATTTATATTAGTAAAAATGACTACTGATTTAAATTGTGTTTCATTTTACTGATAAAATCTGAATTGGTGCATTTTTAGTTTTCCTTATTAAACTTGTTTCTTTTTCTTTTATTCATCTTAATCTAATAAAAGTTCTAAGGTAGTAAGTTTAAAGATATATATACTTTAACGGATGAAATTAGAAAAAAAACCGTATAACATTCGATTTTTACTGTAGCTATATAAGTGTGTTAAGATAAACATTTTCCAGTGTTCAGAAATTACATTTTTTAAAGTTAAATTTAACATTTCAATTATTATTTAATCTTTGCTTTAGGTTCCAGTATAATGCCAGCAGCTGGAACAATGTATCTAACAACTTCAACTGGATATCCTTATACTTATCATAATGGTGTTGCTTATTTTCATACTCCGGAGGTAACTTCTGTCCCACCACCTTGGCCTGTAAGTCATTTTATTTAAGAAGGGTTTCCATCTATTTCTATCAATTTTTTAGTATTTATTTTATTTCTGAAATATGTCAACCACAGACAAGTACAAATAATAATGTAATAGCCATGTAGTTATCATTCAAATTCAGTAAATGTTAGCATTTTGCTGTATTTAACTTTTTTTTTCATGGGAAGAATAAAATAAGATAAACTCATATAAAATCTCCTTGCCTCCATTCTGTTACCCTCTTTTCCTCCTCAGAGGTAACCAGAATGTCTTTCCTGTCTATTTTACATGTTTTTACTACAAATTTAGATATCCTTAAGCAGTGTATAGTATTGCTTTGGGCAGTTTTTAAACACTATAATAAATAATCTGGTTTTTCTATTCAATATTATGTTTTTGAGATTAAACCATGTTGATTCTAGTATATTTAGTTCACTTATTTTAAAATGTTATAATATTCCCTTGTATGAGTATATATTCCCTAAATGAGGGACATTATAAGTTTTTTCTACAATCACGATTAATATCCAAATCATGTATGTATTATGTGAGAGTTTGTCCAGGACCATGGTCTTCAAAGTTTTTGCTCATATATCCTCTAAATTTTTTTGAAAAATTATGAATACTTTCATTTTTAGGTTAATATCTGAAATTTATCATAATTTTAAATAGTTTAGGTATATTATATATTATAGATTTGTTTTAGATATATTCTTATAAAACTTTGTAGCTGTAGATTTTGTTTAAGAATGGAAAATGTCCTGTGTGTGGTGATGGATGTTAACTGGACTTACTGTGGTTATTCTTTCAAGTATATACATACACCAAATTGTTATGTTGTACAGCTGAAGCTAATATAATGTTATATGCCAATTATATCTCAGTTAAAAGGAAAAAAGAAGAATGGAAAAATGTCTGTTTTATAAGTCAGTTAACAAAACTAGTCAACCAAATAAAACTAGTCAAATAAAAGTTAGTTTCTATTTTAAAATTCTGACTTGAAGTTCACATAAATGAGTTAATATGTAGCCCTTTGACCATCATGTGATTTATTTTGTTCACTGAATGAAATAAGGTACCTCGTTTCCTTTAATATTTCTTACACAAGCTCTTTTTGCTTTCCTCTTTCCTATTTCTCAGGGGCATTGCCTTCCTGAATTGTCTATTTGTTTGATGCCCTGTTGGTGTTGACATTCTAGAACAAAGCATTATAGCAAGAACCAGAAAGAGTGAGAAAGGGAGCCATTAGTAATTAAGGAAAAGGGTAATTGTGAAAGAGGAGTTTGAAAAGAAGAATCCATCATACACTGACACATTAAGAGATCAAATCAGGAAGCACATAGAAATTTACGATCAGAAAATTAATACTCTTAAATCAATTCATGCCCATGTACCACTAGGAAATTTTCATGTTTCCCTACGTTGATCTAGGCTGCGGTATACACATAGAAGTAGAATTTCACATTCATAGAGTATACACATCTTTGAATAACTGTTGCCAAATAGTTAAACTTTAGCTTATAGTTTATGAGAGCTCCAATTTCTCCATAATCTGCCAACCTTTTAGTTTATTGGATTTTTATATTTTTGCCAATATTATTATGAAATGGTATCTTGTTTTACTTTTCATTTGCTTAGTCACTGGTAAGATTTTCATATACTTATTGGCCATTCCACTATCTGCTGTGAGCTGCCTCTTCATATCCTTTGTTCATTTTTCTGATGGGTTTATTTGTCTTTTTCTTGAGTTCATTATATGAATTTTGTAAATATCTTCTAGTTTGTGGCTTGTCCATTAACTTTATGATTTTTTTTGTCATACACAAGTATTTTGTTTTAATGTTGACAAATGTATTGATGTTTGCCTTTATGTTTCAGCTTTTAGTGTCTTTTTTTTATATTACAAGAATACAGATATTCTATATTTTATTTTTTAAATATTGTAGTGTTTCTGCTTCCACATCAAGATCTTAAATCTGGAGTTTCTGTATTGACTAATCCATTCTCTTCCACTGTTTTGAAATGAATCCTCTATCAAATGCCAAGTTTCCATGTGTGTGGGTCTCTTTCTGAGCTGTCTCCTCTGTTCCATTGGTGTATTTGCCTGCCCTGCCCAATTCTGTTTTAATTCCTGTTGCTTTATAACAAGTCATAAAAATCTAATAGAGCTGTCCCCTCACTTTGTTAAACTTCAGAAGTCTCTAGTCTATCTTCTGAGTCTTTGCTTTTATAAATATAAATTTTATAATTCAGCTTGTTCATTTCCGTGGAAGCCTTTGTTGGGTTGTTAGAATTGCATTAAATATATAGATTTGGAACATTTGTGTATATTAAATTTTCCTATCCATGAACACTTATATAATTCTTCTTTTATTTCTATCCATCAATCAAATTTTCTTCCTCCTCAAAAAAGTTTTACACATATTTTGTTGGATTTATTCTGAGGTACTCTAGGTTTTTTTTGCTTTTTATGAGTGGTATACATTTTTTAAATCACATTTCCTAATAGGTTGCAACTAGTGTGTAGTAATGCTTTTTTATTTTTAAATGTTGATATTTAAACTGTCAAACTGTCATGTCATTTATAATTTACAATCATTTATAATTCAGTGTACCCCTATTTCTTCCTGCTCTTTTGTTTCTCGTTTTTTTTCCCATTGAGTTATTGCACTGGCAATATCTCTGCTATAGTATTTATGCAGTAACACAATGACTTTGTTGTTGAAAGAGGAAACAAGTTCAGTGATTCACCATTAATATTAATACACACACACACACACACACACACAAACACACACATATACATACATATACATACAACTATAGGTTTTGGAAATACTCTTAACATTTACCAGGCTTTCTCACCCTCAGCACTATTGACATTTTGGGCCAGATAATTCTTGTCGTGGGAGGCTGTCCTGTACATTGTAGTATGTTTAGCAGTGTCCTAGCTTCCCCACATTTATGAAAATCAAAAATATTGCCAAATATTCCCTAGGGGAGGACAAAGTCATACATGGTTGAGAATTAATGACCTAAATCAATTAAGGAAGTTACTTTCTATTTTGTTTGCTAAGAGTTTTTTTTATCATGAAAGGGTATTGAATTTTAACAAATGCCTTTTCTGTATCTGCTGAGATTATCGTGGGTTTTTTCCTCTTTTAATATATTAATAAATTATATTTTGTAATGTTAATCCAATTTTCTTAGCCTGCGATAGTCTGCAAATTGTGAAAAACTATACTTTTTTTAGTTTTGGAGTGGGGATGAAGACTAAACAATGTAAATTAGATCTCATGTTAGAAAATGAATTTTAATTGCTATCATTAAAACCTGTTTTACCTATCTTGTAATACAACTTGCCTGATTTGTTAATGATTTGGTTTTTAACTATCTATTTATGGGGTTTACGCTATTTGAATAACCAAGTGTTAAACATATACGTTGTTCAAACATAGATAAATCACTTGTAAGTTTTTGATTAACTTATTTAAATGTCAAATTAATAAAATAGAATATGACAAATGCTTCAACAAATAATCTACTTTCTTTAATTAAATGTATAACAAGAAAATAGGATGTTGATTATTTATAACCAGTGGTAAATCAGTGGCAAAATGAGATATGATTTTTCATTCAGTAGTAAATGCTATGTAAACATTATTTACTGCTCATCTCCAAATGAAAATATGCAGTGTCACCTTAAGTCCAGCTGCCATTTTCCTCTAAATATTCTCTTAGAACTATAATTTCAAAATCTTTGAACTAAAAACAACTTTTCTGGTGGTTGTTTTAGTATTATTATAGAAATGAAATCACAGGGAAGTAGGAATACTGTGGCGATTTTAATAGATTTAAGTGGAGTTGGTAGTAATATCAATAATAGGTGGAAAAATGACATTTCCAATCATAAACCATAAGTTGACTGAGTTTAGGTAGCAATTCAAGATAAGTTTTATTATAAACTATTTTAAAGAATTTTCCCTAAAATATCTTTTCTATTTTCTTTCCTCTTATAGTCACGTTCTGTATCTAGTTCCCCTGTGATGGTAGCTCAGCCTGTTTATCAGCAACCTGCATATCACTACCAGGTAAGCATTAAATTAACAGTGAAAATCCTCTGATAATTTTAGTACTTTTTAGGGTAACTTTCATTTTATTCTTTCTCATGCAAATACTTTAGTAATTAAAAAGAGATAGTTAAGCCTTCATAGCAGTAGGGGGTTTTGTTTGTTTGTTTTTTGGGGAGAACTAAATGTCATACAGGAAGATGGACTGTTGCTTCCTTTTACGAAATGTAATGAGGTCAGTTTTGCTCCCCTGTCTAAAATTTGATCTAAAAAAACTCTTTAGAAATAATTACCAAAGTGAGATACAAATATTGGATCACAGGCTGATTTTTTAATGTTACTGTTAATATATGGGTTTCTTATTATTATATTTAATACACAGTTGACCCTTAAACACTGTGAAAGTTAGGGACGCTGACCACACACACATATTTGAAAATCCAAATATAACTTTTGAGCTCTAGGGATCGGTTCCAGGACCACCACCCCTCACCATGGATACTAAAATCCTCAGGTGCTCAAGTCCCTTATATAAAATGGTGTAAAACAATGCATATAGTCAGCCCTCCACATCCTTGGATTCCAACTGCAGATTGAAAATACTGTTTTTAATACACAGATGGTTGAATACACAGATACAAAACCCGGGGATAAGGAGGGCCAACAGCATATTTATTGAAAAAGATCCATGTATAAATGGACCCACACAGTTTGAACCCGTGTTGTTCAAAGGTCAATTGTAATGTATATTAAAATAAGATTATTTTGTGATTTATATTATGACAACCTCCTTTAGTTAACCAGCGTTCTTCTTCTCATTAATTCCTGTGGAAGACTGGAATAAGTGAACTATAATGCCAGGCCATTTTGGTGTTTTATAAATAATATGTAGTTGAAACACAGCCATATTTGTTTACATATTGTCTATGGCTGCTTTTATGCTACCATGGCACAGTTGACTACTTGCACCAGAGATATTATGGCCTGCAAAATTTAAAATATTTATCCTCTGGCCCTTTCCAGAAAAAGTTTGCCAACCTCTGGTCTATAGCATTCACATGTAAAAATCACATTCTTTCGTAACCTCTGAAATTTGTTTGGTTTTTTAGGGTTGTTGTTTTTTTTTACTTTTAAAGTAGACCTACATGAATTGTTAAGGTTATTGGAATTCTTTTTATTAGACTGGGTTTGATAGAGGTCACTTACTTTTTTTTTCTATTACCATTCGAAATATAGAACTGAAGTGTTTCCTTCACTTACTAAAAATGAGAGTAATTTAATGGCATTTATTTGAAATATACATTTAGCATGACTTTTTCTAAACTGACTCAGAATTTTAGCAAAGGCCCCAAAGACAGAACATTAGATACCAGACTGTTTAATTTGAGAAGCCAAAATTTGTGAAACCAGTTTTGGGGCCCTTAACTCATTGCCCACATTGAGCACATATGAGGGGAGGACGAGATTAATACGTGAAATTGGTAAGAAGGCTTTCTTTAACAAAAGAATTGTTAAAGGTGCTATGGCATTTCCCTTTCTCCTCAACCAAGTAAAGAGGACTTCTGTAAATGACTAGGAGAGCTTAATATTAGTCCCTTGAAATTTGTGAGATGGTACCACTGAGACCTGACATCTAAAATAGTCCAAAGAAGCTGGAGTGGTCTATGGAGGTAGAACTAGGAGAGAAGGATACATGGGAATGTGTTGAACTTCTACTCACAGCAAGCAAAGGTTTATATTCCTCAAGAGCAAGATGTGAACCTCACAGAAGAGACTCTCCAAAAAACATTCAAGTGACTCCAGTAGATAAAGTATCTGCGTAAAGTAAACTTCTAGAATCAAGGGCTAGAATTACAATCGGAAGTTCTCAGCAGGGAGAGCACCAAAAAATCCAGTGAAGTACCTAACTAGAGAATCAGCATTTGGAATCTGCCACACCGCAAAAAGTTATCTGTCTTAATTTTTATCCAAGGGCAAGGAAGAACAGCTCTACACAACGCTTCTCAAGTGGCAGGGTGAAAAAGAGCAAAGTTGCTTTCTGCTTGCACCCTATTGAGTTCAGCCCTTCCTTCATTAATTGATTACATGTACTGTATTTTGCCATCTATAACACTCGCCTTTTTGTAATGCACACCCACGTTTTTGGCCCAAACTTTCAGAGGAAAAAATCTTTTGTTTTAATTTTTTATTTCAAATTTCTATTTGTTTACATGTAGGTACTTGTTTTTTGTATTATAAAGGAATTTTAGCATCTATTTTTTAACACATTATGGTACAAAAAATTTTATGTAACAAATAATTACAAAACAGATACAAGGTACAAGAAATTTTATGTACCAGTAACAAATTTCCGACATTTACTCATTATAGAAGGCCAAGAACTCTTCATCATTTCAAGTTCATCGTAAGTTCAACAAAACCAATTATCGTATTCCAGGGTATTATTTTGCATACAGATATCGTTATTGATTTCTAGAGTTACACTTTTAACTCATAAGCATAAATAAAAGAATTAAAAACATTTATATAGATAAGGAATTAGTACTACCCATGTATAATGCGCATCCTTCTTTTTCCCCTCACAAATTTGGGCAAAAAAGTGCACGTTATACATGGCAATATACAATAGCTGTAGCTCACTTGCTTTGTTTCTGGTTTTCCACTTGACACAAATTATAAAATTGGAAGTATATACCTAGATATATCCAGATATACTCAGGTACCAATGTGTGTATCGTAGTTTGCAATATAAGAAATAATTCCACTTCACATATTTCTTTTCAGTTACATATTCATCATCACTCTGCCCTTAAAATTCCCACTTTTATAAGCATCTTCCCTTGCTCTTTCTTTTTACAAATTCTAAGATTGATAGCTTTATCAGTTTTTGTTAGTCAAATCAGATAATGCATGGTTTAATCATTTATCTCCTTTATTTTCTCACTTCATTATTTATCTCCTTTGTGATTTCATTTATCTAAGAAATTACATATAAATCATTTTATTTCAGATTTTTTATTAAAATATTTTCTTAAGAGATTGTACATTATTCTGCCTTTTTTACTATAGCATACAGAACATAAACTTCACATTCTCTTGGTCATTATAATACAGTGATGTTACCCATTAGCAGTTGAAATGGTCAGCACAAAACAGTGATTTGGTTTAGATAGTAGCTCCATAAGGTCTTCTTATTCTTTTTCTCTGGTTTTTTTTTCTTTAGTAATAAAAAAACACTTTATTAAAAATGAAAAATAAGAATAAAACATTTATTAAGAAATAATACAACATGGAAAGTTGGTGGGGATTAGGGAAGAAGGGGAAGGGATTAGACAGCATAAATTGGTAAATACAATATTGCCACAGGGCTATGAAAGACAGTTTGGGGAATATAATCAATAATGTTGTAAATATTTTCTAGGGTGTCAGATGGGCATTTGTCTTGTTAGGGAGACCACTTCATGGAGGGTGTAGAGGTTTAACCACTGCACTGTACACCTGAAGCCAAAGCTGAATAATATTGTATGTCAATTATAATTTTATATATATGTGTATATATATATATATATATGTAATATATATAGTCACAGGATATGAAGTATAGTATAGGGAATAGAGTCAATTGAATTGTAATAGATATATAGGATGTCAGACGGGCAATAAATTGGGGGAGGGGAATTATCACTTTGTGAGGGGTGAAATGTATAACTATTACATTGTTTTGTACACCTGAAGGTACAAAAAAATAAAATTTAAAAAAGAATGTGAAGAGGAAAAATAATACAGCTAATTTAAGGAAAAATCTTATCTTTTCTATTGTCATCTTATAATAAGTATTGTAAATAATGTGACTCTCATTAAATAACAGCTTTATTTAGATATAGTAATTCACATACCATACAATTCACCTGTATAAAGTGTATAAGAGTGTTTTTGTTTTTATTTACTAAATTCAGTGTTGTGCAACCATACTGCAATTTTAGAACATTTTAATCACCCCACAAAAAAAACAAAAAACTTACCCCATTAGCATCATTCCTCTTTCCTCCTACCCCCAGTTCTAGGTCATCAGTAATCAACTTTATATCTTTACAGATTTGCCTATTCTAGGCATTTCACATAAATGAGATCTACAATATGTGACTCGATTCTTTCACTTAACATAATATTTTCATGGTTTATACATGTGGTGGCATGTATCAATATTCCATTCCTTTTTATAGCTAAATAATTTTGCATTATATGGATATACTACATTTTGTTTATCCATTCATCAGATGATGGACATTTGGATTGTTTCTACTTTTTGGTTATTATAAATAATGCTGCTGCGAACATTTGTGTAAAAGTTGTGTGAATGTGTTTTCATTTCTCTTAGGTCTTATACTTCAGAGCAGAATTGCTGGGTCATTTCCTTTTGAGAAAATGTCATATTGTTTACTAAAAAGGCTACACCATTTTACAGTCCCACCAGCAGTTAATGAGACATCCAACGTCTCCATATCCTTGCCAACACTTACATTGTTTTTAATTTTGATGAAGTCCAATTTATCTATTTTCTTTTGTTGTTTTGTTGCTTGTGTTTTTAATGTCATAATTTTAAAATTGCCTAATACAGAGTCACAAAGATTTACATCTTTGTTTTCTCCTATGTTTTATAGTTTTAGCTCTTTCGTCTTTGATCCATTTGGAGTAATTTTTGTATATAGTTTGAGGTATAGAGGTCCAACTTCATTTTTATTTTTTATTTTTTTATTTATTTATTTTTTAAGATTTTTATTGGGGAATTGGGGGGATGGGAACAGTGCTGGGGAATGGGGGAAGGGGAACAGACAAGTTGCTGTCGTTTTGTTTGTTCTTCAGTCTAGTTGTGGAGGACGTTGCTTCACTGGCCCAAGTTGGCACCATCATTGCGCTCTTCCCAGGCGAGGCAGATCAGTCGCCGGCTTCTGGACGGCTGCTCACTGCGGCTGCTGGCCGCTCACGCTGGCTGCTGGCTACATACGGTAGCCCATGGCAACCCACTGCCACAGGGGCTGCAGCCTACGCCGTCACTGGCGACTCACGGCAGCCCAGCTCCAGGTTGAGCTGTTGTTCAGCATCTTAGCTGTGGAGGGCAGTGTCACTGGCCCTCATATGTGGGATCCGAACCGGGGCCCTCTGGCATCCCAAGCCAGTTCTTAACCATCGCGCCACTCGGCCGGCCCCCAACTTCATTTTTAGATATCCAGTTTTAACCCTTGTTTATAATTTGGATGGGGTATTTTTTCTTTCATTTTAGGCCCCTGCACAGTGTCTACCAGGACAGTGGCAGTGGGGTGTTCCTCAGGTAAATATTAACTTTTTTCACTGTGCTTTTGTGAAGACTGCATGAGAACTAGATTTAAGACATTTCTATTTATTAACTATGATACCTTTGGCAGTTTGTTTAATCACTTTATTACTCGGCTTTCTCATTTATAAAATGGAAGTAATGATACTACTGTATGTTTGTAAGTTTTCCTCACAATTTTTGTGAGGAGCAAATGAGATCATGTAAGTGAAAGCATCTTCTAAATGAATGTTGTATAAACATTACTTATTTTTCTATTAGTATGACTAGAAATTTTAATATTTTTCTAGCCTTCAGATTTTGTTTGCTTGACTTATGCCCCCAAGTAGTCCATCTCCTAATTTTGTTAACTAATAGTACCATCAAAAAGATTGTTTAACCTTTTTTGACATTTCCTACTTCCATGGGCAGTCACAAAGCTGAGAATAGATGTTTATGTCAATTTAAATACCATGGGTTATTTTACTATAACCTTTAATAGGGATTTTAATATAATTATATTTGAATTTATGTATTAAGTTCTAAAGCACTAAGAACTTTTAGTGCTTACTAGTGATCAAGTTCTTTGATAACATCTACACAACTGAAATTTATAACAACCTAGAGTTCCTAATTTGTTGCTAAGATACTTCTATGCCATCCCTAAAAAAGAACTTTAGGAAAATATGGAACAAATATTTCTCTCATCTGTTGGGTAAGTCATTTGGTTTCATTGAAATAACTAATCATATTTGAATTAGAAATATGGTTTTGTATTTTAGTCTCCTGCCTCTTCTGCTCCGTTCCTATACCTGCAACCATCTGAGGTTATTTATCAACCAGTGGAAATTACACAAGATGGTGGATGTGTTCCTCCTCCACTGTCTCTGATGGAAGCTTCAGTTCCAGAGGTAAATATTAGTCGCAAAGTAATGTATCTATTATTATCTCATCTTACATTTATTTTTCTTTTCCAAAAATATTGTTCAAGATCCTCATTGAAGCTGAATATCTTATGTTTTCTTTGATTTATTCACATTTCTTCCTTTTTTATATCTAAAAATGCTTCATCTTAGACTTCTTCACTAACTAACTCTGAATCATTTCTGAAATCAACTGTTCACTTCACTAGGCTAATCCCTGACTTGATCTCCTTGAAAAGAGTAAGATACCTTTTATTTTTCAGACTAGTTTTTAAATAAGGTGGTTTTTTTTTGTTTTCTTTTTATTCCTGTTAGAGCTTTGAGCAAAAAAAATATATTCCACTTCAGTTTCTTCTTCAGGTACACCAATTATGCATACGTTAAATCTCTTTTTCATATCTGTCATCTCTCAAGTAATTTTTTTATCATGGTACTTTTTCTGTTTTATATGCTTTTTAAGACAACTATGACTATATTTCTTGTGTTTATTCTACTTTTTATTTTGACTAATAAGTCTTCTTTATTTTGTTTTAATCGTTTTTATCCCAAGTTCTGCCACTTTGCTTACATCATTGCAAATGTCTTTTGTTGGCTTAAAATCTCATTTTCAAACTCCTTTTTAGAGCTAATATTACTATAATTTCTTTAAGGTTCAAAAGAATTATATTTATCTGAACTTTTCCACTTTTTATAGGGTGGTTTCTCATCTTTAAAGAGGCAGTATGGATGCTTAGGTTGCTTGTTTTCCCTTCCCATCTTTATAATACTAGTCATGAAATGAGGCCAGCTATTTGTCAAAGTAGAGGGTGAGAGGAGCAGGCTGTTATCTCAAGCATCCTTCCACTGTGTTGTTATATCTCCTGCTTGAGATATATACTGTTTCCTCCGTTTTAGCATTCTGGGGATCATTTTCTGTATTGGGTTGTAGTAATTGCTACTTCCCTTTCTACCTTCACCCTTTTCACCTCCAGCAGTGTTCCTCAGCTATAATTCAAGGTAGTATAGATAACAAAAATGGTGAAAACATGATATGTCCTTCAATCCCACATCCCCTGCTATTAAGTAATATAAAATTGAATCTCTGTGGAGATATTCCCTGTTTCTGCCTTGATCTGACACACCCCTACACTTGAGTCTCTTTGAATAGGTCTCTCAGAACATTGATCTTTAGGCAAATCTATCTTTCCTGGTACCTGAGGATGTTTCAGAATCCTTCCTTACATTGCTCCCAATTGCATAACATTTGGCAGACATTCTAAATTGTTTGTGGTTTGGAGATCTTGGGCATTTCCTTGTTTAATTGATGATGGCATTTTAAAAATCTGTCTTTGTTCTTTTTATTGTTTTGTGTTTGTCAAGGAGGAGGCAGTGAAGTAAGAATTCTTTTACATTAGATTTTTAGTTACAGTCTACTTTTGGCATTAAACCATATTCTTAATTCCTGACATCAGATAACTTATCATCATGATATATTCACTGTTTAGTGGAATCTAATAAGACTTTTCTGGAAATATTACTTATATTAGCTTATAACTTATACTATCAGTTTCTATGGTATTTCCATATAAAATGATATATGCATGCTTTTATTTTAATATTGTTTCTGGTAGAAGGTATAGTCTGAAATATAAGTTAATGAATATGTGTGGGATGGTAAGTAGAAACCACTTTAGATAAAGCCATTTAGCTTTCTTTCAATCAACAGTATGCATCTACTAGAAGTCCTACAAATACCTCAAATTTTATATATTACAAACCTAACTTCTTCTCTCCAGTCCCCTTACACATTATATAAAAACATTTGCTTTTCTTGTATTCCATATCTCAATGAATTGTTCCACCATCTGTTGAACAAGCCATAAATCTGCTTTTACATTGCTTCCTACCTTTTGCTCTAATGTCGCATCTTTTAGCTGTCTTTCAGTGTATATTCTTCCTTCCAGTCATACCAGATAACCCATGTAGATCTTCCAAATGAGATGTGTTCTTAGCTGCCTGTATACCTTTGTGAATACTGTTCCCACCTTCTTTCCCTAATTCTTCAAATTCAGGAATCAGCTCCACTAGAAAACTTTTCCTGACCACCTCCCCAACTTTCTTAAGCTAAAGCAAGTAGTTGCTTTCTCCCTTGCATCCCTGTATGTGTGTCATAGGACTTACGGTATTTTTAACTATTTGTGCCTGATCAGTCTCTTAAGTTAAAAGTAGGGGATGTGTTTATTTTACCTGAGTTTCTCCATTGTGTAGCAAAATGCCTATTACATTGCAATGCTGAATAAATATTTTGAATTAATAAATGAAAGGCAATACGTTTCTTTTCTTTCTTTTTTTTTTGTAATAGCCTTATTCTGATCATGGAGTTCAAGCAACATATCACCAAGTTTATGCTTCAAGTACCATTGCTATGCCTGCACCTGTGATGCAGCCTGAACCAATTAAAGTAAGAAGTTTGTTTTGATTTTTTTTCCTGTTTTTATTTAGTCATATTTTAAATTTTCCAAATTTCTCTTCTGAAAGGAACAACTTGGGGTAGTTATATCACATTTGTGATCAGAAGTACAGAATTTGTTAACTCTTTCATATGAAGGAAACAGAATCTTAAATTAACTATAATTTCTATTAGTTTTGAACAAGTAATAAACCACACATGGGCAAATGTCTTATTGACTGTGGTAAAATATATGTAACTTAAAATTTTCCATTTTTTAAGTGTACAACTAAGTGGTATTATTATATCTACAATGCTGTGTAACCATCACAACTGTCTGTTTCCAAACTTTTTCATCACTCCAAATGGAAGCTCTGTACCCATTAAGAAATAACTTTCCATTTCCCCTCCCCCCAAGTCCCTGGTAACCTCTAATCTACTTTCTGTTTTTATGAATTTGCCTAGATATTTCATACACACGGATTTTTATTATCTATGTTAATAGCATGTAAAATTTATGAGGAGATGAAAACAATTAAACTCTTCAAATTTTGGAATTGTGCTCTTGTAGCCTAAATCAAATTCAGACCAAAGAGTGGTAATCTAGTTAGATCCATGGATATATTCAGTAGATTTCAACTACCTACTATGTAGCAGGGAATTCTGCTCATTCCCATATGATCTAATTTCTTAGTGAAACTCCTGCATCATCACTTTAGAGAAATGGGACAGTATCTCTAGTAAAGAACCATAGATTGATTAACTATTGTGATGGTAATATGAATCTTCCTTGCAGTGTACTTTGGTAAGGAAAGTAGGCATACTCTTTACAATAAAATGATAGAAATTAGCTATTTCACACTTATATTTATGTTTCTGACCTACCTCAATACCAAAATGGCATACTTTAGGGAGACTCCACACACTCTCATATATCCTTACCACTCACTGTATTCCTTCACTGCTATTACCACTGTGCTGCAAACATGAAATAAAACCATAATTTTGACCTAGTGTCAAAGCACAGAGTGTTACTAAACTTGTATCAAAATGTTAAACAGACTTCTTCTGATGTTAATATTTTCTCCAAACATATTTCTCTAAAATAGCTGAAATAGCTATTTCATATTAGATAAGTACTATTTATTTTCAGTTACATATTATACCGAGGGTGCCAAAAAAAATGTATACGCAATCTTTTGTTACCATATATTGAGTATTATAAACTTAATACGGTTTTTTCCTTTCTTAAAATGTGTATACATTTTCTTGGCACCCTCTGTATGTAAGTGTGTGTGTGTGTGTGTGTGTATTTGTGTATATATATTTACACACACACACACACACACACACACACACACACACAAATGATTGAAGTTGTATTGCTTGAATAATTCCAATAGAAGATGAATTGGTATTGGATAGGAGAAATTTCCAAAGAATGTTAATGTTAAACATTCTTAATTTAAAGTTTAATTCTAGTTTAAAAAGAGTATACACTTTTCTGCATTTTCTTAGATGTGTGAGTAGGAAATGGCCGAAATTGTACAGAGAAACTGGTAACTTATTCTTTAGTTTGGTCATATAAAAAATTACACATGTTGAATATAAATCATAACAGGCATGAAGAGATATCTTACTTTGTACATATAAGAATAAAACTGGAATAAGAAAACTGCCTCTTGCATGTCTAAAGAAATGCTGCTAAGAGGAACTTTAGCCCATCAGTCCTGGTACAGATCTTTGCTCTACTATGCCACAGGCCAAACGGGAACAAAACCACTGACTTGTTTCAATTTAGAATTTAATCTGTCCTGTTAAACGTTATAATAATTCTGGTTGTCACACGAGTGCATCTAGGGAATATTTTTGTTACACCAAAGTTAAGATTTAACAATTAGGGAAGAGCTGAAAAGCTGTGAAATGGTTAACCAACTTACTCCAAAGCCCACGTTTCACACAACTATATCAGAGAATCTGAGACATCATGGATTGTAAGACACACCATTATTTTATGTATCATTAACGATATAAAAAAAACATTGCCATAAATTGTAATGTATTCTTATTCAGAGGTTTTCAAATTTGAAAAGTTGTATATCTCAGAATCAATGAGATTTGACATGTTTCATTTTTAATTTAGAGATGCAGGCTCATAGGAAGCTTGAATTAGGAGGGATAGGAAAAAACCCCACAATTGCCCTTTTGTTAAAGATAAGGAAAACAAAAGAAAATTTAATAAGCTTTTAAGTCCAAGCTGGAATACAGGGCTATTGTATTGAGTTACATTTCCTATTTTTATTTTTTAAGGTTGAGTGTTGTATGTATTTTATACTCAATATTTTTCTTTCGGTTATTTGGGGCCCTCAATAGAATACAGTGCCCCACTCAGGAACAGAAATTCCAATACCTCTTGCATAGTTTTCTAAAAACTATACAGCCCTGTAGAAACACTTTACTATACAAGTTTTACCGTGTGGAAAATTATCTACTTTTGTTGATAGTGCATTTGTATTATAACATAGAAATCTTAATACACAAATGTTACATTATTAGGAAACTTATCTTTTCCTAAAATATATTAAAGTAGAATAATATTAAAATATTGACATTTTGAAATATTAGCTTAAATTCTTCCTATGCAAATTTTCCCTAGTACCAAAAACCTTGGTGACTTAAAATAGAAAGGTGGAAATATTTTTGGAAGCATTTGAGCATGTTGTGTTTATAAGTATAACTCATTTTTAAAATTCTAGTGATTATCATTTTAAGAATGTTAATTGGATATATCCCAAAGTAGCAATTTCAGATGTCAGAACTATCTTGTAGCAACAAACCTAATCAGTAAAATAGAGACCTTATTCAGAGCGCAGAGCACAAGTCTAACTGCTATAAAAGACTTCCAGAAATTACTCATTGACTGTAAGCCACAGGCTATAGTACTCTATCAAATCCAATACATTCTAGGGAACTACTAAGTTAATATAGTATTAATAAGGGTTATTATTCCCTAATTCAACAGTCACATCTTATACAGAATTCAGTTTTAAAGTCAATAAAGCAAAATCACATAATGTCAAAATTACCCATTGAGCTAAACTATATAGGAGGGAACAAAAGGAAAATCTTTGTGTATCTGGACATTTGAACCATTATGCTTTTAAAACCAATATGAAATCCCTAGGTAAGAAAGGAATAAGTGGAGAATTATAAAGTGTTTCTGTTACCTTACAGTGTTTTTCCATTTTTACATTAATATAGATACCTAATAAATTTGTTCTTATTTGGATTAATTGAGATACTGGAAACTGGAAATTATCATTGGAAGTTCACCTTTAAATTAAATGTTCATTTAATTTAACTCCAATGTATACTTAGCTATTAATGAAAACATTTGATATTAAGGATATTTAACCACTTGCCAGGCAATGAGGAATTTTTGTCTAATTAAAGCACCTACTGGACTTGAATGACAAAAACAGCCATGGCCTGTTACACCTTACCCTTTGGAAAGACAGTATGATTCAAAAGTACATTGGAAAGGGATTTGACCTACTACCACTGTATTTCTAGCTCAGCGACCCATAACATGCACTCACCTAAAAATTAGCAACTGTTGCTACTTTACAGAAAAATTCCACTATCTTCTTCCTAACCATTTCTTTATTTCAGTTTCATTGACATTTCTTATAAAGCAAACTAGAAACTAAAATTCCCTCATATTCATTCAGCAAGACCTCAGGGTAGAGGAGGACAAGTGTAAAGCACTATATTCTAGGGGGCAAGAACAGGAAAAGCCTGTGCTTTGCAGCTCCAGGCATACAGGAGGATATAAATTTTCATGCAGTGTATATAGTCAAACCACAGATAGCCTCAGATTCCAGAGAATAAATTACTCAGTAGAGAACCAGGCAGCAGGAGCAAAAAAAGCTCACCCAGTTAGGCACTAGAAAATGTGTAGGTTCTGTGTATACCAACCCTCCTCCTCGTTATGAATACAAGAGAAGGGACAAAAGACAGTAAGGGGAATCAAAGACTCATAGACTTTTTACAATTGTCACAGATAGATTTCCATTCAAAGACGAGTAAACAGAAAAGTATACACTGTATGGACCCTGTGGAAGATTTTTTGCATATGTCACTACATTGAAGGCAAGGATAAATAGAATATATATGTATAAGAACATATATTTAAGAGGAAGTTAATTTTTAAAAATATACCCCATGTTTCCAGTAATTACAAACTAAAAAGCAAAAAAGATGAAATGGTTGCTGGCCAATGTAAGAAAATTCTGTATGAAACTATTGATATGTATGATGAAAAGATTTAAATTTGTCTTTGCCATAAAGGGCCACAGTAGTCACTACAGAAAATCAGAACCTTGACATAGAGTTTTTAAAAAATCCTCCCAGAATTCAAAAGAAGATAACATGAAAGATGAAATGATGAAAGATTAAATGCTCTAATAGAACAGAGACAAGTCCAATCAAAAAATAGTAATTATTAAAAAAAAAAGAACAAATTGAACAAAAAGAATGAGTATAAATTTTAATAGTAAAACAAAAACACCTTTCATTTGTTTGAATTTACAAGTCAAAAAGGATTCACCCTTCTCAAGCAAAATGAATAACAGGCAATCCATGCGTAAATATCCTGGCAAATACTCTCCCACCCCCACATCCTGGTCCTTTTAACTCTTTTCAACCAGTTATTTTTAAATAATTTTGGACTTACGAAAAAGTTGGAAAAAATAGTACAAAGTGCATGGATCCCTTCACCCACCATCTCTTAACAGTTTATATAATCAGAGAACAATCAGGTAAAACAAAAATATAGCATTGGTATAATGCTATTAACTAAACTACAGACGCCACTTAAACTTCACCAGTTTTTCCACTGATGTTCTTTTTCTGTTCCAGGGTCTAATCCAAGATCCTACATTGCACTAATTTGTCTTTTTATTCTCCTCTAATCTGTGAACTTTTTACAGTCTTTCCTCGTCTTTCATAAC